GAAAATATTAAATTTTTTAATTATAATTCCATAAAATTAATCTAAAATTTAGGTAATTGTAATCTATTTTATTTATCCACCTAAAATATAGTGCATTAATTATAAAAACTAATTTATACATATAATTTTAATTTCCAAAAAAATTAAGCCCAATAAATCGAATAATCTTATTCTTCTGAAATATTATTTAGAAATAAAATTGATAAATTGTAACGTAGTCATGAGAAATAATATCATTATCATGTAATAAATATATTATATTGCAATATTAGAGAAAGGATATTACATTGTTGAATACAACATTACAGAAAGGATATTACATTGTTGAATACAACATCTTGTATAACAATCTATTTCATTTACTCGTGTAGACTAACTGGATGACCAAATCTTTTTCGAACTCCAACGATGCATACAAATCTACGTACACTCATAGACTATCGTGACTGGACTGCCACTTTTAAGCCCCCGATGATGAATACAGATTTACACTCATAACCATAATCAAATAATTTTTTTTCTCAATATTTTAAACCCAACAAATCAAATAATTTTATTTTTCAAAAAATTGTCTATAAATAAAATGGATAAATTGTACTATAGTTCCAGCAAATGACAGCATTTGATATATTATGTATAACATATTGCAATATTACGTATAATCATATATTATATACTTATTAACATCGTATTTTTTTTTGAACATGTATCATATTTAATTGAAACATACATCATATTTTGTCATGTAATTAAATATATCACAATATTGTATATATAATACATCGGATCAATTTTCATAAAAAGTCAATTAGTTGCATTATTTTTATTTTATATGCAAAAATATCAGTTACAAATAAAAATTCCACTAGAAATGTTTTTTTATAAAAGATAAATCTAGAAATGTTTTTTTATAAAAGATAAATCGTAAAAACAGTTTCACTAGGACCTTTAAATATATATACGAATATCTTTCTTTTAAATGTACATCATATTAATATAATAAATATACTCCCTCCGTCCCATAAGTAAGTATTCGTTTGCTTTTTGTACGTAGTTTAAGGTATATTAATATTATATTGATATGTAGTAGGAATAAAGTACAAATGACTAAAATAACCTTATTAGTATTGTGTGATATAAATGTAATGGCATTTGTGTAATATATTGTAAGTTGCAAGGGTATTTGTAGTGTTAAGTAGATAGTACAATTACTAAAAAAGGAAATGAATACTTTGTTATGGGATGAACCAAAATAGAAAAATTGATAGTTTGTTATAGGAAGGAGGGAGTATCATATTTGGTTGATTTCTATATCATCTTGAATGTAGGACATTTTGTGCAACCAAATGCGAGATCGGATTTGTCCTTGAAAATAAAGGAGAATCGGCGCAGAAGAATCCATAAAACTATGTTCATAAGCAGCTTAGAATGACAGAAGAAATACAAGTTGTTGAACATAAGAGAAAAAAAAAAAAAGATTAATAACACAATGCAGGAAATAAACTTTTTTTCCACAAAATACAAGCAGTGAATATTGTGCTCGGTCTTCAACCATAAATAAAATGAATAAACCATACTTGAAACTTTCGTATTAATTGAGTTATTTTTATTTTACATTAGAACCATTTTTTTTATTATTATTATTTTTGTATAAGTTGTAGAATATATAGGAATCAAATATATATGATACAAAATACTCACGATCGAGATCCCTAAAACTCAATAACTTTATGATCGTTTCGACACTCATAGCCATGAGTTTTACATACAAAAGGCCTTTAAAATAAGTTTGACTTAGAAAGTACCTCAAAGCATCAATAATGGGCGAAGATCAAGCTTCTCGTTGTTGATGTCAACAACCCTTCTCGGAGTACATGGAAATTTAATGCGGTTGCTCTTCGTGGCCTTGGGCTTAGCTGACGCCTTAATATCTACCATGTGTTCTACCATTGATACTCTGCTCTAGGGATTAGAAATAATGAGAAAAACGGAAGAAATGTGTGATGCATTGAGTCGGAAATGGAATGAGTCACGGAAGCGTTGTTCGAATCAATGGGCGATAGCGTGGGGGCAGTCGAATCCGGCTACTTCTTGGCGACGGCGTGTCAGAAGTTTTTGCAGATACAAAATGAGTGTGAGGGCAGTCGAATCCGGAAACTTCTTGACGACGGCGTGTCAGAAGGTTTTTGCGGATACAAAACGAGCGTGAGAATTTGGTGCGATGGGTGGACGGTGGGAGAGAGTGAGTTAATTCAGGTTATTTTTTATTTTTTTATTTTTTATTTTTTAAATTGTTAGAGGTAGTCCTCAATATTTTTAAATTGAGTGTATTATATAGAAAGTACATTAACTATTGAAAATATAATATAAGAGGGAATAGGGTGTTGAACTAAAAATTCAGCACCCAAGCCGATAATTAAAAATTAATGATTATAATTATATTATGTAAATTAGACTAATAAAATTTAGTAATTCAGCATGGGTGGTTCAATACCCTATCCTCTCTGATATAATATAGATCATTGTAGCAAAATATTATAAGAAATATTATTTTTAATGTGTCATGTAAAAGATAATTCGTAAATAACTGTGATCTAATTTCCTAAAAGTAAATCCTTAAATTGAGGTTGGATCATTTGTAATCAATTTTATTATTTAAAAAAATGTTATATTTCAGATAACTCCATATATAATAACTTATTGGTAAAAAAATATATCACCATCTTGTCATGCTAATTACATAATTTTTAATATTCATTATATCATATCATTAATGTAATGTGGTTTTGTCCCACATTGGTTTGTTTTAAAGTTTTAAGTAATATTTGTCCCACATTGCTTGTGGTGACAAATTAGCCATAAGATTCTACTATAAATTGGTAGTCTTGGATTGCGTTTTATACACACCAAAATTAGACAAATAGTCTTTCCATACATATTTGTGGGTTACTTATTTTGTCTTAGGGTGTTTTAGGAGATTGAGAGTTGTGGACTTTAGAATTGTTATTCGAGCCTATTTTGTATTCTCTCTTGATAGTGAAAGTTTGCTCCGCCTTTGCTCGTGGATGTAGGTCATCTTGACCGAACCACGTATATCCTTATGTCTTTTAAATTTCTTGTTCTTATTTTTTCCATTGTTAAGGTTCTGCAAATATTTGTTTGGGGCCATAATCCTAACAAATTGATATCAGAGTGATAGCCATAAATAGCATGCGTTAAAATTTATATTATTTGCGATATTTGGTTGGTTTTGATTAGATTCTACCTGATTTGGGCATATATTATTTATTTATAATTTGCAGGAGAAAAATAATAAAATTGATATAATTAGTGGAAAAAGAGAGCAAAAATGTCCAAGGCCCAATTGTTACAAATTAGGGCAAATATAAAGGAAAGAAAGAAGCGGGAGGCACCACTTTATGCTACTTGCTGAGGAGAACACCGTGCAGAAGAGTCCCAGAGAGAAACCGTGTAAGGGCAAAAAGGAGAAATATTCTACCAAGAATATTTCAAGTTTTACCGCTACCAACATCATTCTCATGCAATGTTTCTCTTTGCTTCCTTTTTCTTTGTTCTTCCTCCTATGATTAGCGAGTAGTTTACTTTTCTAGTCTAGGAGTGGAAAACAACTTGGTATGGATTTGGAAGATTAGACTTGTTCTGATTTATGATATTTCATTGGTTCCTAAATATTTCTGTGGTTTCTGATTCCTTTGAGTTATAATCTTTTATTTGGTTGGGTATTGTGGCCAGATGTTTCAATTGGATTAAGGATTAATTGCTAAACTAAATTAGGCGTCCGTAATTGCATTTTAATTTTGTTCAAGTAGCAACAAGTGGCAGACACCATTAGGAAATCACGGAATCAATTTTAAAATATTTCGCATAGTTAATTGTTAAATTGAATTAGGCTCTTCTAGTTCGCAAGGCGGTTAGGCTAGTAAATTCTTTGTGGCGTCACTAGGATTCTAGTCTAACTAGGGAAGCAGTTGACGGGCGTACCTAGATTGTCAAGAAATTAAGGAAGAGTTGGTTATTAGGCGAGTGTCGGTAACTATAACTAATTTATTTAGAAACCAATGAAAATTAAATATTTATCGATGACCAAATCCACTACCCAAGTTATCAATTTCATTCATAGACTGGAAACTAATTTTTATTGAATGTATATTTTAGTAGTAGATTTTTTAGCTTGTTATTTTATTTTTATTTTCTTCTTCCAAAATCCCCCCTTTTATTATATTTATAAATTAAACAATCGAAAAGAAAACCTTTTAAATTCCCTGAGGAGACGACCCTACTTTATCTATACTACGTTATTTTTATTGCAGAAGTACGTTCATTTTATTTAAATTTTGTAGCTTGTGACAAAAGCCTGTCAAATTTTGGCGCCGTTGTCGGGGAATTCTAATTGGTTCAATTTATCTTTGGTTGTTTTATATTATTTTTAAAAATCTGACTTTTTCTAGTTTATGTCGACATCTGATCGCACAGAAAACTTGATTTTTGACCCCGAAATTGAGAAGACTGCGCGTCGATTGAGAAAAGAAACTAGGGAGCATCGCCAAAAATATTTAGCTTCAGAATCATCTAGCAATTTTAGTTCTTACGAGATCGAGCTAGAAGAATAGATGGATCAAAAGAGATTAAGGGAGTTGGCAGCCCCTAACTTGACCTAGCAGCATCTCTGCATCACATATTCGACGGTAGACGGTGACAATTGTTTTGAATTAAAATTAGGACTAATACACTTGTTGCCTTCTTTCCATGGGTTGCGAGGAGAAGAGCCACATAAGCATCTTTAAGAATTTTATGTCGTCTGCACAAGTATGAAGCCAAAAGGAGTAACAGAAGATTAAATCAAGCTTCGTGTTTTTCCCTTCTCACTGAAAGATGCTGCAAAAGATTAGCTATTCAATCTACATGCTGGAAGCGTCAACACATGGACTGACATGAAGAGAAAGTTTCTTGAGACGTACTTTCCTGCCTCACGAGCTTCGAACATAAGGAAAAAAATATGTGGGATCAAACAACAAACAAGGGAGTCTTTATTTGAGTATTGGGACCGATTTAATGTTTTAATTATGTGATGTCCTCAACATCAAATCCCTGAACAATTAGTAATTCAATATTTCTATGAAGATTTGACTTTCATCGATAGGAGGATCATAGATATAGCAAGTGGAGGAGCTTTGATGAACAAGACCCCTAAGATGCGTGGGATCTACTGAATGACATGACTATGAACTCGCAACAGTTAGGCCTAAGAGACATAGTGACAGTGAAAGAGGCAAGTGAGGTAAGTACTCTACAACAACAATTAAGCGAACTAACTTCAATTGTTCAACAGATGGCTATAGGGAATGCACAAGTTATGGCATGTGGAATATGCACTAGCACAGAACACCCTTCTGATGCTTGTCCCATGATGACTCAAGGACTGGATGTTAATGCTGCAGGATTCGCCCCTAGAGCATACAACCCCTTCTCAAATACCTATAATCCAGGATAGAGGGATCACCCCAATCTGAAGTATGGAAATCAACAAGCACACGTCGGAGGCCCTTCACAAGGATTCCGCCCACCCAATCACAATCAATAACCTCCTCAAGCGGTTCCAGATAACTCTTTACAAGATATGATGAAAACTATGACGTCTAACGTGTTACAATTTCAACAAGAGACTCGAAACAACATCAAGAGCTTGGAAGAACAAGTGAGTAAAATAGCAAATGAGATGTGGGAGATTAAATCAAGGGAGAAAGGTAAATTGCCTGCACAGCCTGACGCTAATCTGAAGAACATGAGCTCGATGGTTTTACGAAGCGAAAAGGAATTAGAAGGACCTAAAATTGAAATTTAAAAGGACAAGGATGAAGAGGAGATCGAAAAAGAGATAGAGAAAGCTGCTCATGAAAAACCAAACAAGGTAACTTCTGAAATGCCTACTTACCCTAAGATTAACGCCGCACCATTTCCTTGCAGGTTAGAGAAACGGAGGAAGAGTGATAAAAAACAAGGAGGTGATGAAGATGTTTAGAAAAGTGGAATTGAGCATACCTTTGTTGGATGCTATCAAACAAGTTCCGAAGTATGCCAAATTCTTGAAGGAACTTTGCAAATAAAAAGAGATTGCGAGGAGATGAGTGCATTATTGCTGGCGAAAGCGTATCTGTTGTCATACAACGTAAACTCCCTCCTAAATGTGGCGATCCAGGTATGTTCTTGGTTCCCTGTAAGATAGGTAAGTTAGAGATTAAGCGAGCAATGTTAGATTTAGGAGCCGCAATAATTGTGATGCCTAAGTCTATTTATAAATCTCTAAATGTTGGGCCATTAAAAGAAACTAGGATTATTATACAACTAGCCGATAGGACTAATGCTTACCCTGAAGAGATGATTGAAGATGTCCTAGTGCAGGTTAATGAATTAATTTTTCCAGTGAATTTTTATGTGCTTGATATGCTTGATGATAACTCTCCAAATCCTTCACCGATATTGCTTGGTAGACCATTTATGTGCACTGCGCAAACTAAAATAGATGTCAAGCAGGGTATACTTTCTATGGAGTTTGATGGTGAGAAAGTACAATTTAATATTTCCGATGCTATGAAATACCCTGGAGAATCTAGCGCTTTGTATAGCTTAGATGTTTTTTATGAGAACGTGCAAGAAATTTTTTATTTAAGTGGAAGAGACCCTTTGGAGATTGTTCTGGCATACCATCTTAATGCGCAATTCAGTGCAGAAAAATTGATGAATTCACAGCTAAGAGAAGCAATGCACGCACTACAATATTCGGAATTCAAGACAACTAGGTTAGAACAAGCAACGTTGCCTTTAACTAAATCTAAAGAAAAATTGTTGCCCTCTGTTTTGCAGGCTCTGAATCTAGAGATGAAGCCACTCCCTAATAAGCTGAAATATATTTTCCTATGAGAGAAGGAAACCTTGTTTGTTATCATATCAGCTTCCCTTTCTCAAATCCAAGAGGAGCGATTGATTAGGGTGTTGAGAAAGCACAAAGAAGCTATTGGTTGGACCATAGCTGACATAAAAGGCATCAGCCCATTTCTTTGCACACATCACATTATGTTGGAGGAGAATGCAAAAGCAGTAAGGCAACCTCAAAGGCGATTGAATCCTGTGATGATGAAAGTGGTGAAGAAAGAGATTTTGAAACTATTGGATGTCGAGATTATTTATGCTATCGCAGATTGTCCATGGGTATGTCTGATTCATGTGGTACCTAAGAAAGCATGAGTTACGGTTGAGGCTGACAATGATGGTAAGTTGATTCCAGTCGGAAACAAATTGGATGGCGCCAGTGTATCGACTACCGTAGGTTGAACGCCGTCACAAAAAAAGACCACTTTCCCTTACCTTTTATTGATCAAATGATTGAGCGATTAGCAGGAAAATCTCACTAATATTTTCTAGATGGATTTTCAGGGTACTTCCAGATTGCCATAGCACCGGAGGATCAAGAGAAGACGACATCTACATGCCCCTATGGCACTTTTGCATGTAGGCGGATGCCATTTGGACTATGTAACGCTCCAACGACTTTTCAACGGTGCATGATAAGTATATTTTCAGAATATGTCGGTAAGATCATTGAAGTATTCATGGATGATTTTAGTGTGTGGTGATAATTTTGATGCATGTTTAGATAACTTGGCCTTAGTCTTGCAAAGATGCATTGAAACGAGATTGGTTCTTAATTGGGAAAAATGTCAGTTTATGGTTGAAGATGGAATTGTTCTAGGTCACTTGGTCTTTTCAAGAGGTATAGAGGTTGACAAGGCTAAAATAGACACTATTATTACTTTACCCTACCCCACTTCGGTGAGGGAATTGCGTTCTTTTCTTGGTCATGGAGGTTTTTATCGACGATTTATCAAGAATTTCTCTAAGGTGGCGTGCCCACTGTTCTTTCTTTTACAAAAGGATATCTTATTTGAGTTTGATGAGAGCTGCAAGCAAGCTTTTGATCGAATCAAGAAGCTCTTTACCACACCATCTATCATTCAACCTTTGAATTGGACACTTCCATTCGAGTTGATGTGTGACGCCAATGACACAACCGTAGGGGCAATTCTTGGACAACGAGATGACAAGATTCCTTATGCAATGTACTATGCATCGAAGGCGCTTAATGGAGCCCAATTGAATATTCAACAACAGAAAACGAACTCCTTGTTGTGCTTTTTGCATTAGAAAAATTCAGATCTTATTTATTGGGCACTAAAGTAATTGTTTTCTCTGATCATGCAGCACTAAAGTTTTTAACGGAGAAAAAAGAGAGCAACCAAGACTCATTTGATGGGTGCTGTTGTTACAAGAGTTTGACTTAGAAATATGTGATAAAAAGGGCTCCAAAAATTGTGTACCCGATCATCTTAGTTGATTATCGAATACTCAAGGAGATTTGCACTTGAAGGATTATTTCCCCGATGAACAGTTACTTGCAGCAGTCTCTTCAAGTCCCTGGAACGCTGATTTGGTTAATTATTTGGTTACTAATCAATTTCCTACAAGATGGTCAAAGGCAAAAAGAGATAAACTCAAAAGTGATACCAAATACTACTTTTGGGATGACCCTTCCCTATGGAGAAGATGCGCTGATCAAGTTATCCGAAGGTGTGTCAATGAAGGTGAATATAATTCTATTTTAAAGTATTGTCACTCCTTGGAATGTGGAGGTCATTTTGCACCGCAACGAACTGCACGTAAGGTACTTGATAGTGGATTTTATTGGCCAACTTTGTTTAAGGATGCACATAACTTTTGCAAATCTTGTGATAGATGTCAACGAGTAGGAAATATATCTTCTAAACATCAAATGCCTCAAGCGCCTATGTTGTTTGTTGAGATCTTTGACATGTAGGCCATTGATTTTATGGGTCCGTTTCCTATTTTGTATGAATTTTTATATATTATATTGGCAGTCGATTATGTCTCAAAATGGGTAGAAGCAAAAGCTACCCGAACTAACGATTCTAAAGTGGTTGCAGAGTTTCTCAAATCATCCATATTTTCTCGATTTGGAATGCCAAGAGCCGTTGTCAGTGATCGAGGCATGCACTTTTGCAACAAAACTATTTCTTCTTTGTTTCGCAGATATGGGGTTTTGCATAAAGTTTCGACGTTGTATCATCCTCAAACGAATGGCCAAGCTGAGGTCTCGAATAGGGAAATGAAAGGAATTATAGAAAAGATGGTGAGACCGGACCGAAAAGATTAGAGTTTACATTTAGAAGATGCTCTGTGGGCATATCGCACGGCATGCAAGACACCGATTGGTATGTCTCCTTTTCGATTGGTTTTTGGTAAACCATGCTACCTCCCGGTTGAAAGCGAGCATCAATCGTATTGGGCAATTAAGATGTGCAACATGAATCTCGATGATGCGGGAGCTTATAGAAAGTTGCAATTACAAGAGTTGGAGGAAATTCGTAATGAGGCATACGAGAATGTTGTGATTTACAAGGCAAAAAATAAGGCCCTACATGATCAACACATCATGCGAAAAGAATTTTCAATTGGACAGAAAGTCCTACTATATCACTCGCGCTTGAAGCTTTTTCCATGTAAGTTTCATTCTCGATGGATGGTTCCGTTTTTTGTGACTAATATATTTTCTTATATCGCAGTGAAGATTCAAAGTTTAGCCACAAATAAAAAATTTGTAGTGAATGGACATTGACTCAAGCCTTATTATGACGAATTTTCGAATGAGGAGGTGGACTGCATTACCCTCCTCAACTTGGATGATTGAATGCTTTCACTCGACTACGTCTAGCCAAAGACGTTAAAGAATGGTGCTTCTTGGGAGGAAACCTAAGTTTTCTAGCTTTATTTCATTTATTTTCTTTAATTTTTGTTTTATTTTTTTATTTTTTAAACATCGCCTATTTGAGTTGGATTCTTTATCTTTTGTAGAGAACTTCTTCGAGAATTTTGGAAAAAAAAAAACCGTCTTCTTTCTTCTTCTTCCTCCCTGAGCTATCAATTTTGGTGTTGGCTAAAAGAGACGCACAATCAACTTGAAGAAGTTTGGAATCCAAAGCAAAAACATGCAGTCGCACCAATCCTACGGACTCC